GAGACCCTGTCTCAAAAAGACAAACAAACAAACAAACAAACAAAAAACAAAGAGAAATGTCTACGCCACTCCTTTGCCCCTTATTTATTTATTTATTTATTCATTTATTTTGGAGACAGGGTCTTACTACATTGTTTAGACTGGTGTTGAGTCTACTGTATAGCCCAGGATGGACTCAAACTCATGGAGATCCTCCTGTCTCAGCCTCTCATGTGCTGGGATTACACATGTACACCACCATACCTGGCTCAACATGTGCAGCTCTTTTGAGGCCTCTCTTTTCTCACTTATTTCCTTTGGTATTTATTTTAATCTGATTTTACCTATTTTAGTATTGTGAGGAGTCCATAGAGATAGGAGAGAGAAGTAAGATAAATGTTGGTTTTCAATCTTTGTGCCCCTGAACTTGACCACATTGATTCTTTATTTACCAATGCATTCATTCATTTATTCATTCATTCATTCATTATTGAGGGGCAAAGCATTGTTTTGGAATTACACAGACCTGGCTTTGTAAATTTATCACCTGTGTGATATTAGACGAAATACCCTTTCAGAGTTTCCATTCTCCCTTTGTTTGTCTGTTTGGTTTGTCTTTTTGAAAGCTTTCTTTCTTTTTCTTTTTTTTTTTCTGGTACCAGGAATCAAACTCACGACCTTGTGCTTGCCAGGCAGGTGATGTGCCACTGAGCTATATCCCTGGCCCTTTTCCATCTTTCTGAGACAGGGTCTCGCTATACAGTTCAGGCTGGCCTTGAGCTCTCTTTGTAAACAGCAAAGAAACTGGAAATGTACTAAAAAGAAAAGGCTCAAAAATACTTTGTCGGGCTGGCTGTGGTGATACACATCTGTAATCTCAGGTAATCAGGAGGCTGAGGCATGGGGTTCACAAATTCAAGCCCAGCCTGGGTGACACAGCAAGATCTTGTCTCAAAATAAAGAATAAAAAGTGATGGGGATGTAGCTGAGTTGATTCCAAACCCCAAAATATGGGTTGTTGGAAGAACAAGAAGCTTATGGAATGGGACCACCTGGGGTTAAGAATCTATAATGGCAGCAATGGTTTTCTCTAGGAAGGTGGGCCAGACCTGCTCTGCTCCCCGCATTCTCCCAGTCTCATTGGGACATGTGTGGGACAAATGTAACCTCCAAAAGTACAGCTTGTGCCAGAAAGGAGCAGATGCAGCCCTTCTCCAGGGTCCTTTGAGTCAGTCACAGGATCAAGAAAACATGCTAAATTGGGTGTGGGGGCACACACCATTAATTCCAGCACTTGGGAAGCTTAGGCAGAAGGTTTACTAGGGCTGGGGATATAGCTCAATGGCACAAGCACCTGCCTGGCAAGAGTGAGGTCGAGAGTTCAATTCCCGGTACAAAAAAAAAAAAAAAAAAAAAATAGAAGGATCACTAGTTTGAGGCCAACCTGGGCTCCATAGTGAGTTCAAGGCCAGCCTGGACTACATAGCAAGACTCTACCTCAAAAAACAACAACAACAACAACAAAAAACTTGCTAAGCCAGATATGTGTCGTACACATCTGTAGTCCCAGCACTTGGGAGGCCGAAGTACAGGATTACGTGAGCCCCAGACTTCAAAGCCAGCCTGGGCACTATAGAAAGTTCAGTATCAGAGGGGAATAAAAGCCTGTGCGTTCTTGGAACTCAGCTTCAGTTTATTTGCCCGAGAGACCAATCAGGTACTGATAATAACAGAGGCAGGACTCTGTCAACCAAGCCTCTCCCCACAGTGGCAATGACAAAGTTTCCCTCCTGTCGTATGTTCTGACCTTGAAGGCCTGTGTTTTTGAACTTCAGCAGAGTCTTTGCTGAAGGACTTTTCCCTAACGGTAACATGACCCAATCAGAGTGTCCCGGGTGAGCGTGGTGACAAAACCGGGAGAGCTGGGCTCCGTGTATTCAAGTTGCGGCACTCCCCAGGGCTCCCTGTGCACACACCAGGGTTGAGGCATTCTGGCCCTTGGGGTGGGATGAGGGGACGGCGGCCACCACGGAATCCTCCTCTCCTCCAAGCCTACAGGGAGTGTTAAGTGCAGAGGTCAGGATGGGAGCCTGGGACCCTGGACTCCTCCTTTGACCCGGCTCTGTCCGCCACTGGCTGTGCCACCTGCTGTTGGACTTTCTGAGTCTCAGTTGCCTCGTCTATAAAATGAACACGAGAAAAATACCTGAAGGTGTACAGTAGGTGCAACAGGATGTATGAAGAGCACCCTGTACCCAGTAGGTCCTAAAGCCAAGGCAGGCTCCCTCCTCCCACCTTCCCTGGGCAGCCTCTGCTTCCTTCTTGCTCTCCAATCCCCCCCGCTCCTGGTCCAGCCTCCCCCAGGGCTCCCTACACCCCCTCCTCAGGGTTGAACGGGGCTCAGTTTCTGGGATGTGGGATCCACCTCTTTTCTACTCCATGGAAACTCTCCCCATCACACCACACCCTTGCCTGATGTCTCAGCTTGTCTAGACCGCACTGGCCCCAGAAGCCTTTTGAGGACACTCTGGCTCTTCTAGTTTCTGCCACAAGCTGTACTTTTGGGGCTTACATTTGTCCCTCACATGTCCCCGATGAGACTGGGAGAAAGCGGGGAGCAGAGCAGGTCTGACCCACCTCCCTTGGGTGGGCGGCCCAGTGTGTACTGTACCCCAGAGTCCTTGGAAGCAGGGTCTGGACGAGGGTGCTGGATGACAGACAGACACATCCGGGGCCCTCAAGGATCTGGTACTCCACCCCCCGCTCTACGCACATACTGACCTCCTTCCTTCCTGCACAGCTGTCAAAGCCTAGCCCCTTACCGTTCAATCGGCAAAGCATGCAGATCTCTAGTGCAGAGGGTCATCTTTGCTCTGTGGGTCTGTCCCAGCCTTGTCTCCCTTTACACTCCATAGTGATATAGGAGAAATATGACTCCCAGGCTGCTAGATTCAGATGTGCTGAGTTCGTGTCTCCTGAAATTGAAGAATGAATTCCAAGGGACAGTGTAGGTTGAGACTAGGAAGTTTATTGAGAGCTAGCTCCTGAGAGACAGGAGGGGTCCCAAAAGTCTGCTGTCATTAGGCTATTTGTCAGGGGTAATTTATACAGCAAAGTCATGACTCAAATTGTCGTCACCCTATAGGATTACAAGTATGGTTGCTTAGCTCATGTTGATCCAATAGAGAAACAAGTCGCATAGCCAGGGTACATGAAAAGAGCAAAGGCACTTTTGGGAAGGGATGTGTCCAGATGTTATGGTCACCAGCCTGAGCCACTGATGTCTACCTGGATTTACTGGACCAGGTAGTGCTAATTATAATATAATTCTGAGTTACAGTTTACGCCCTAAGGAGGCATGCAGGCCTCGCCACTGCATCTTTATCTTGATGCCTGGCCTTCTTCAGATGCACCTCCAGCCACAATTCTGGTGTCTTTATTTTTCACTGACTTCCTGGAGCACCCAGTCCCTCTCTGACTGTATATTAATTTAGGTCTAACTTAGCTGCTTATGATGGTAGTGTACCCTTCAGGAAGGAGAGGATGCCCTGACAGCTACAGTCGAGTTCTGGAGTGGGAGAGCTGGAAAAGAAGCTAGTGCTCAGCCAGGTCCTATTTCTTACTTCCTGCTGTGGAAACTGAGGCTCAGGGCTGGGGACGTGGCTCAGTGGTACAGCTCTTGCCTTGCATGCACAAGGCCCTGGGTTCGATCCCCAGCACCATGTACAAAAAAAAAAAAAAAAAGAGAAAGAAAGAAAGAAAGAAACTGAGGCTCAAAAAGGTGGAGAGGCTCTGAAGGGCGTATATATTTGGTACAAGCTGGACTTGAACTCAGGACTCCTCCTGTATGAATTTCACTTTGCACCTTCAGCTAGCACAAGTGTGTTCCTGCTGTGGACCAAACCTTGGCTTTCTCCGTGTGCTCATTCTTCTCCTCCTTTCATAGAACACAGAAAGGTCAGCTCAGTCCTCAGAAGAGGGAAATGACTGGCGCTCACCTCGCATCACACCCGGTTGAGAGGAAAGGCCAAGGATAAGGCCTGCTGGAGCTGGGGGAACAGTGACCTCTGGCAGGGTATGGCCTGGCGTTGTGTAACATGCAAATGAGACCGCATCTTATGGGAGAGTCCCACAGATGAGGCTTCTCACAGCCCACTTTGTGCTGGCTCACGCCTCCTGCTGGACACTGCCTAGAATGCAAGCGTCGTCCATACCCAACCCTGGAAACAGTATTTTTACCATCTTTGGACTTCAGCTTTCTGGCTTCCAAAAAGATGATGATAGTGTGTAAAAAGATCCCCCCCAAAACACTATCATATGAGTGCCAAGGCGCCAATGAATCCCTTTAGTTGCCATATGTGCTTCGTTTTTGTTTTTGTTTTTGTTTTTGTTTTTGTTTTTGAGACAGGGTCTCGCTATGCAGCGAGGCTGGCCTCAAACTTGCAAAGATCCCCCTGCCTCAGACTCCTGAATGCTGGGATTACAAGCATGTGCCACCGTGCCTGGCCATATGTGCTTCATAATAAAAACTTCTTATCGTTTGTTATTAAGCATTTACAACATTTGGGAGTTCAGTTACATCTTTGCAATATTCCTTTTCACAGATAGGAGAACTGAAGCCCACAGAGGTTAAATCTGTTTCCCCAGATCACACAACTTGTAAATGACAGAGCTGCGATTTAATCTCAGGACTGCAAGTCCAAGGCTTTTTCTATTACATTAGAGCATTTTTGCTATTCAAAGTCTTTCCTTTATAGCCTGCCTCAATTTCCCTTCCTGTTTTTTCTTTTGCTACAACTGAGTACCACAGACTGAATAACTTACAACAAATAAATCTCTATTTAGCTTGCAGTCTGGAAAGCTGGGAAGTTTAAGATCAGGCAGCCACATCTGTTGAAGCTCTTCTTGCTGATGCGGACTTTGCAGAGTCCTGAGGGGGTGCAGGTCAAACGGAGAGAAGGAGCAGCCTGCCTCAGGTGTCTCCTCCTTTTCTCATATTTTTTTATTTTTTATTTTTTTAGGTACCAGAAATTGAACTCACAATCTTGTGCAGGCCAGGTAGGTGCTGTGCCGCTGAGTTATATCCCCAGCTACCTCCTGTTCTTATAAAGCCACAGTCCCATTAGATTGGGACCCCATTCTGTGGTTTCACAAATTACCTCCCAAAGTTCCCACCTCCAAAATCATAATCTTATATGACTACTACTGTATAAATGGCATTGTGTATATGGTCCATTGTTGACCACACCATTATGCAGTGCATGTCTGTCCGTGTGTATGTGTGTGTGTGTGTGTGGGTGTGGGTGTGTGTATCTAGCGTAGTGCACTGTGTCTCTTTCTGTAATGTGTATATGGATGCATTTGTGAATGTAAGTGTGTGTGTTGGCTGCAAAGATGTGCACATTAGAATGCTTGTGTCTGCATGTACATATTCCACTAACTGGGAGAGATGTAACAAGAACCTAAGATTTAATGAAGAGTCATTGTACCTAAGGAGAGAGAAGAAAAAAAATTCTAACAGCTTCTAGTTGGTCAATCCCTTCTTCAAACTGGCAGCAGTGCCATGTGAAGTAGCTGGTGTGTGGGAGGGGCACCGCACTGCCTGGCTGGCCGCACTCATGGTGGAGTGGAGAATGGCGTTTGATAGCCGGGAGGACACTGATGCAGACTGTCCCGGCCAGTGGCCGCAGCAGAGGGGGAGCAAAGGAGACGACAGGGAGTGGCAGTGTTAGCTGCTGGCCAAGCCACCTCCCTCCTCCAGCCCAAAAGGGGTGAAAAGAGAGTCAGGCACTTCTCACGTCTTGATAAGGACTGGGAGTGGGTGGGTGGAGAGTTTTTGTTTGTTTGTTTGTCTTTGTCTTTTTGAGACAGGCTCTCGCTATGCAATTCAGGCTGGACTTCAGTTCACTTTGTAGCCCAGGCTAGTCTCAAACTTGCAACGGTCCTCCTGCCTCAGCCTCCCAGGTGCTGGGAACCCTTTCTTTTGAAAAAATTTTTTTCTTTTTGTAGGACTGAGGATCAAAGCTAGGGCCTTTGATCATGGTAGCCATGCTAGGTCATGCTGGCCAAGCACTCAGTCACTGAGCCATATCCCATCCTTATTTTGTTTTTAATGTATTTATTTTTAAAGCTGTACAATTTTATTGTTAACAGTGGCTGTACTCGGGCTGAGAAGATAGCTCGCAGGCACAGTGCCTGTCTGTCAAGCTCAAGGTTCTGAGCTTGATTCCCAGTACCAAAAAAAAAAAAAAAAAAAAGATTGCACTTAATGAAACTATTCTTTTTCAGAAAATGTTTGCTGACCCCTTCTATTTTTTCAGTACTGGAATTGAACCTAAGGCCTTGTGTATGGTGGGCAGTTATTCACCCATCCTTTTTTTGGTACAGGGTCTCACTATGTTGCTCAGTCTGATTCCAAGCTCAAACAGTCCTCCTCCCTCAGCCTCCTGAGTAGCTTAAACTACATCCGGTGCATCACTCCCGAACAGGCGTGCACTACCATGGCTAGATTAATCCTCTAGATTTCTTAACCTTTATTTTATTTTTCCCACTTTATTTGCATGTGTGCTATATTCTGAATATTTCTTCAGTTCTATCTTCTAGTTCACTCATTCTCTTTTCATCAGTGTCTAATCAACATAGAAGTCATTTAGCCTGTCCACTGAATTTGGTTTACTTTTATAAAAGAGCAAAACACAAGAGAGCTGGGCATGGTGGTGCACGCCTGTAATCCCAGTACTTGGGAGGCTGAGGCGGGAGGATCGTTGCAAGTTTGAGAACAGCCTGGGCTACAAAGTGAGCTCAAGGCCAGCCTGAAATGCGTAGCGAGACCCTGTCTCAAAAAGAAAAAGAGAAAAACACAACAAAACAAAATCTACCTATCTATATGAGATAAGTGGGATAGGCTGGAGTGGAGGAGAAAATACGGATAAGGAAATTTATTAAAAGATGGAGTTAACTTAGCATGATTAAATGATAACAGAAAGGTGAAGGGGGAGAGAGTTCAGAGATGTGTTTAGGTGATTATCAGGTAAGAGAGAGAGAGAGAGGTGACGTCTTCTCATTCTGTGTCCTGTGACTCATTGGCAACCGTTGCATCATCCACTGTCAGACTCTCAGCTGCGGCCCTCAGCATCTGCTCCAGCAGATTCAAGCAGAAAGGAAGTTTATGGGTAGATATCAAGTGGCTCAGCCTCCAGGAAGCCAGAGAACTGAGCATGGAAGATAAGCCACTAGCCCAAAGCAGGTAGGAAAAAACTCAAGTAGGAAAAACCCACACTACAGGATTTTCCAGCAAAAAAAAACACATGGTGTTTCTGATGCCAGGGTTCACTGTATAATCCCTATAACTTTTATTTTTTAAATTTTTTTTGGCAGTGCTGTGGGTTGAACCCAGGGCCTTCCACATGCTCAGCAAGTGCTTTTCCACTGAGTTACATCCCCAGCCCCCCTTAATCCCTGACTAAAGTCTAGACCCAGGAGCCTCGTTTCCATATCACTCCCTATAGTGGATTGACAACTTGAGGTCAACTTATAACACCCAGCTGAATTAAGTGTGGTGCTGGGCGTGGGAGGCCCACCTAAGGACTGCTGCCAGCAGCATAAGAGGCAGAACTGGAGAAGAAGAAGAGAGGTTGTTGGGAACTGGTAGAAGCTGTAAGGAGCTGTTGGTTCTTTTGGAGGACCTTGTCATGCTGGCCTTCCTGATGAACTCAGCTGTTCCCATTGTCCAAGGAGCTTGTCACTGAGAATGACTTTGGTTCACTTTGGGGGAGCTCTGGTCCTCACTTTGAGCATTGCTTCCTGGCTCCAGAAGGAAAGATGGTGCATTGCTCAGTCTCCTGGAGAAGCTTGTCACGTTGCCTTTCCTGATGGGAACTCAGCTGTCCTGATCATCAGAGGAGCTCAGGACCTCACTGTTGCTGAGGATGACTGTGGTATCTTTTGGTGGAGCTGTGGTTTTTATCTTGAGTGTCGCTTTCTGGCTCTAGTGCAGACCCCTCAGCCTGCTAGCACAGATCCTTCATCCCTCTGGCACAGACATTCTAGATTCCACCACTGACCTTTGGGCCTTCCAGCGCAGATCCACGAAACAGGCCTGCGTGAGATATTGTCATGGGCTCTGGGCCTCCAGTTGGACTCGTGGGAGGCATTGTTATGAGCTCTAGTTCTTCATCCGCACTCATACAGGACATTGTCGTGGGATCCAGGCCCTCAGCCGGATTCTTTGGTCACTAGTGTGTGGATTTCCTATACTCTCTTGCATATGATCCTTCGAGTGACTGTTATAAATAATCTTATAAAATATGTATCCTGTATTAAATTGTTCCCCTTGCAAAACCCCAAACCACGACACTCCCTGATGGTTGCATCACTCTGTTTTACAGAATTTCCTCCCTCCCAACCTATGGCCTGTGGGTCACATTGCTCTCCCATAGGTGCCCATGCTTGAAAGAGCACTGGAGCTTCATGGGCATGCAGGAAATGCAGACTCTTCGGGCTTCTATGCCAGGTAGGCATTGATTTTAACAATGCTGAGTCGGTTGGCCTACCACACCCGCCCTACACAGTTGTATGTTTCATGATAAAAAAGAGTAGACTCCAGACGTGGGGTCAATGTCCAGCGGTGGTATCAAAACAAAGTCCATGTCCAACAACGTCCTGGTCACAGAAGTGATCAGTGCTTTCCCATCAAGCAGTTCTTAAGAAAGCTGTGGCTGCGGCTTGTGTCACTTAACCTGAATCACTATGTGTCTGTCAAGATGACAACCGTGGATGCTGCCCTCCTTTGATTTTTTTTTTTAAACGGTGTCTCACAAAAAAAATAAAAAAGGAAAACAGGGTCTCACCGCCTTGAACTTGCTTATGTAGTCCAGGCTGGCTTCGGACCCACTGCTATCTTCCTCCCTCAGCTCCCCAGTGCGGGGATTACAGGCATGCACCAGCACACCCCTTGATTTTTTTTTTTTTAAAGATAGGGTCTTACGATGTAGTTCAGGCTGCCTGGAACTCACTATATAGCCCAGGTTAGCCTCGAACACGCAGCGATCCCCTGGTCTCGCATGTGCCACCACGGTCAGCCATGTATTTCCTTTGAGAAATCTCTCTTCCTTCGTTCAGTCCATACGGGGATCCAAGCCAGGCATGGTGGCACACGCCTGTAATCCTAGCACTCAGGAGGCTGAGGCAGGAGGATCACTGTGAGTTGGAGGCCAGCCTGGGCTACAAAGTGAGCTCAAGGCCAGCCTGAAATGCATAATGAGACCCTGTCTCAAAAAGAAAAAAAAAAAAAAAAAAAAGACCAAAAAATAAAATAAGATAAAAAACATACAGGGATCCAGGGCTGGGATGATGACCCAGTCCTGGGCCATCAGCACCTGCGCTCTTTCTTGTCACTGCGATTGACTTGTGGTATGGGACTCAAGCCAAGCTGAGAGCTAATTCTAGTATAGTCAGCTCTTGTGACACTCCATAAAACCACCACAGACACTGCTCTCTTGAGTACTGAAACCCTGCTCCTGGGGGAGGATGGGGTTAAATCCCTCCAAGCCCCGCTGAAGTCCCCTCGCCTGTATCCATGTTTTTCTGCCAAAGGCCCCCTTATTTAAGACACTGTTGATTGGTCCCCACTGGATTCATGGCCCACGGTGCCCCTCAACTCATGCCTCACTCATTATCTGACACACGTGTGCTCTTTCCCAGGCACACTGCAGCCTTCCCGACCTTTGGAGTGCTCAGCAGCACTTCAGCGCTATGCTTGGGAGCCATTTTGCTTTATTACTTTGTTTTATTTGCAGTGTTGGCGATTAAACCCACGGCCTCACATGCTAGACAAACACTACCGCTAAGCTACCCTCTGGCCCCACGGGGGCTCATTTTAAATTTTTAAGTAGCAAAATTACCAAGAAAAAAAGAAAAAGCACAAAAATATGTGAAAAATGTAGCACCACATACATCATGAAAAGGACACTGATTCTATTATGAGCTGAAACGGGAAGGCAGAGGATTGCCTCACTTGACCTCGTTCACTGCTTTGGGCATGTTATCCAAAAATGCTGAGTAAGTGTCAAGAGTATTGATTTGGGGGCTACACATAAATTTTAGCAAGCAGGGAATCTGCAAATACAAAATCTGCCTGCAACACTTCCATTCAGAAAGAGGAGATCAAAATCTGCAGGGGATGGGGCTGAAAGGGCAGGATCTAAACGGAGTGCAGCTCCGAGCAAATGTGAAGAGCCTGCATAAATGAAATTAGCTTAGAGGAAAGCAGTGCGGAGTGTGGAGACATATTTAGTTCCCAAGATATCTTTTGAGACTGAAACACGCTACCTCTAAATTTACTCTATGAGAACCAGTAATTTCTCCTTTTGCTTAAAACAAAAGGAATCAAAGTTACTGTGACTGGCAGTGAGGTCTTTAAAAGAGTGTGGAAGATTTGAACATGACTTCTTATCTGTGAGAGGGACAAAAAAAATGTGAAAATGTTAAATTGATTTGCAGCTTCTTGCCACCACCCTGAAGGATATTTTTGATATATCTCTTCCTTATTGATAATATCTCTTCCCTCTAGCTTCTGGCCTTGCTGTGGAAACTGCAGAAATCAACAGGGAGACAACCAAAGAGGAGGCGTAGGGTTTTTCTGTAGGTATGATATGAAATTGGCTGGAAGAGGAAGAAAGAAAATTAAGGTTGGGGAGGCTGAACAGAGAGGGAGTGGAAAAAAGAAAATCCACTTACAAACTCCTGGGGTCCCGCTGCCAAGATCGATGCCAGTCAGCTGGGCTTGGTGCTGCACACTCATAACTCCAGCCAACTGAGTCAGGAGGATCACAGTTCTGAGGCCAACCTAGGTCACTTAGCAGGACCCCCATGTCAAAACAAAACAGTGAACAGGGCTGGGGAAGCAGTTCAGTAGTACAGCACTAGCCTAGAATGCATAAGATCCTGGGCTCAATCCCCACTACTGCAAATAGTCCTAATAGTTTACAAACGATATTTGTTTCGCCAGTTTTGTGCTGATATAAATGGATTTATTTATATTTGATTTCTGTCACCAAATGCTATCTTTGTGAGGTTCACCCACATTGTCATCTGTACTTGTAGTTCTTTCAGACTTAGTGTGCAGGATGCTATTGTGTGGATACACACAATTTATCTGCTCTACCGCTGATGCACATTTGGGTTGCTTCTAGGTATCTGGCTATCTTAGTTCAGATTTGATATTTTGCATCTTACTATTTATTTATTTATTTATTTATTTATTTAGTCTTTTTGAGACAGGGTCTCTCTATGCAGTTCAGGCTGGCCTTGCGCTCACTTTGTAGCCAGGCTGGCCTCGAACTTGCAGAAATCATCCTGTCTCAGCCTCCTGGGTGCTGGGATTACAGGCATGCAACACAATGCCCGGCTTTATTTGATTTTTGAGACAGGGTCTCACTATGTATTTCAGGCTGGCCTTGAACTCACTATGCAGTCCAGGCTGGCCTTGTACTCATGGTGATCCTTCTGCCTCAGCCTCCCTAGTGCTGGAATTACATGCATGCACCACCATACTTGGCCTATCTTTTCGAGTTTTGTAGTAGTATTGCAGTATGGCTTCAATTTGTATTTTCCTGGTGATAAATGAAGTTGTGTAACTTCATGTGTTTATTAGTCATTTGGATATTGTGAAGTATCTGATTTCTTTCCTTATTTTGTAAAAGTTATACTGTTGATTTCCTTGCTAATCTTTAGGAGTTCTTTATATACTCTAAACATGAATTCTGTGTCAGATAAATGTACTACAAATGTCTTCTACTTGATGGTTTGCACTTTTACCCTTTTATTCCCCAGTACTGGGGCCTGAACCTAGGGCCTCATGTCTGCAAGGCAAGTGAGTATGTATGCATAGCATTGAGCTATGATTCCCCAGTCATTTAAAAAATTTTTTTTGTTCTAAATTTTGAGACAAGATGTTGTAAAATTGCCTGGGTTGATCTTGAACTTTCAATTCTCCTGCCTTGACCTCCCCAGTGGCTGGGATTGCTGGCATACCACCTCACTGCATACACTTTCATTTTTTCAAGGGTGTCTAGTGAAAAATAAAAGTCTGTGACTTCAATCTAGTTTGTCATTTTTCCTTATGAGCAGTTGTTGGTGTGTCCTGTTGCAATAACCTTTGCTACTCTGAGGTTATTATGATATTTTATTTTTCTTCTAAAAACCTTTATTGTTTTACAATTCACCTAGATCAGATTTCCATGGTAAGTGTAATATAGAATGCAGGTGTAACGTAGGGTACCAAAGCCAACAGTCATTGCTTCCTGTGTGGATTGACTGAGGACCGCTGTGATGAAGAGTTTCACACCAATTTGGCTGAGCTGAGGGATATTTGGAAAGCTGGTAACATATGATTTCTGAGCATGTTTTTGGAAAAGGTTGGCATGTGAATTGATAGACTGAGTGAAGAAAATCACCCTCAGCAGTGTGGGTGGATATTATCCAATCCACCAAGGGTCTGAAGAGCAAAAAGGTAAGATGAAGGGTGAATTCATCCTTTTCGAGCTGAGACATCCTTTTTTTTCTTGTTTTCGGACATTAGTACTCCTGGTTCTTGAGACTGAAGACTTGGACCTGATTATATCACTGCTTTCCCGGCTCTCCAGGTCCAGCTTGTTTGCCTCTCTTTTTTTCTTTCTTTCTTTCTTTCTTTCTTTCTTTCTTTCTTTCTTTCTTTCTTTCTTTCTTTCTCTCTCTCTCTCTCTCTTTCTTTCTGTGTGTTACTGGATATTGAACCCAGGGTATTATGGTTTGTGTCTAGATGTTCCCATAAAGCCTCATGTGGTCATAGGTGGGGCTTTTCAGAAGAGGCTGGATCTAGAGTACAGTGCTGGGATTAAGCGTGTGTGATTACTAAATTAGTGCACTGATTGGTTTGGGATAGTTCTGGGTGTGGACAAGGAGAAGGCCCACCCTAGGTGTGGGTGCTACCTGCCCTAAGGGTGTACAGCCTGGATAGAGTATAAAGGACTAAAAGAGGGCTGCTACAGTCACTTGTTGCCTGCTGATGCTTCTTTGTTACTTTGCTGCCTTCTGTCTGCCATGAACTCTTCTCCTCTGTGATGCCCATCTCCCCTGCAGCCAGTCTATGACTATGGGCTGAAACCTCTACAAACAGTGAGCCAAAATAAACCGTTCCTCCTTTAACTTTGGGTGTTGGGTATTCTGTCTCAGAAATGAGAAAAGTAACTAAGACAGAATTTGATACTAGAGAACTGGGGTCATTGCTATGACTATACCTGGCCATACAGTTCAGGAGCCTTTGGAACTGGCTTGTGAGAAGAGTTTGGAAAGGTTTTGAGAACTGGCTGTAGAAGCAGCCCTGGAATGCCATCACCTGTACTTGATGGGAGATTCTGCTCAGAGCTCAGAAGACCAGAGTGCTGATAGAAATGCTACTGGTAAAGACCAGGCTCGAGAGGTTTCTGCTGGGAAGAAAAATTGCATAGGCTGTTGGACTCCAGACAATGTGTGCTATGCCTTGGCAGAAAGTGTCTCCATTTAGCTTATATTCAGAGACTTTGCCTGAGACTGAGGTTTTTTTTTTTTTTTTTATTGTACCAGGAATCAAACTCATGACCTCAGGCTTACCATGCTAGCGCTTCTACCGCTGAGCTATATCCCCAGCCCCTGAGACTGAGATTAAGAGCAGTGGACTAATTAATCTTGCAGAAGAAATTTCAAGACAGTCTAATGCTGAAGTGGTGGCTTGGCTACTGTTGGGGGCTTTTAGTCAGATTTATGTTGAGAATCAAGAGCAAAGAGCCCAGCAGGATGTTTCAAAATATTGTGTGTTTGGCCAGAAAGGAAGCTCCAGTAAAGTTGTGGACTGAAAAGATCGGGCAGAGGAAAACTCGATTGCTGAGAAGGAAGAGGACCATAGAAAAGATGGCCTGAGGACATCAAAAGAACCAGCAGGAGTCCGCCCCTTACAGCTTCAAAATTGCAAAAGTGAAAGACTTCGCTTTGAGAAGAGAGCCCCACGCACCATATTCCAGAATGGTGGTGGCCTAGAGAGTTTATTCCTCAGGATGGGGTTCATAGTGCTCAGCAATCCAGACATTTAAGAATTGTGGGGTCAGAAAGACTTCCACCCAGACTTCAGTGTGTCCCTGAGAGAGCAGTGTGTGAAGCTGTGAGTGTAAAGCCAAAGGTGCAGTGGAGACCCCAGAAGGTTGGAGAAGCCAGGAAGGTGGATTGTCTGAGGAAAGCTGCAAAGAGTGAGCAGAGCTAGCTCAAGAAACCATGACAGCTACAACCACATGAGGTGCCACAGGGCCGGAGCCACGTAAGTCCTTTGGTGTTCACATCTTGCCACAGATTTCTTCAGATGCTGCACATGGAACTACAGGACTTAATGTTTCCCCTGCTGAATTTTGGACTTTGTTTGGTCCCTTTTTTTTTTTTTTTTTGAGACAGTCTCACTATATGGTTCAGCCTGGCCTCGAACTCACTTTGTAGCCTAAGATGGCCTCAAACTCATGGCAATCCTCCTGCCTCAGCCTCCTGAGTGCTTCAGTTTCAGGCATGGTCCATTTCTATTTGGAGTGGAAATATTTATCTTGTGCCATTGTATGTTGGGAGGAAGAAACTAGGCTGAACAACATAGCGAGATCCTGTCTCCATCATCATCATTATCATCATCATCTGTATATGTATATCCTACAGATTACAAGGGTTTGCATAATGACAAGAAGTAAAAATAAATTAAGGACTTAAAAATACTATACACAAGTGTGTGCACACACACAAGGTGTTTTGATAAAACATTCTTAGTGTTTTCAGTTATAGTTTGTTTTAGAAATGTGCAGCTGGGGGGCCGGGGATATAGCTCAGTGGCACAAGTACCTGCCTGGCAAGCACAAGGTCCTGAGTTTGATTCCCAGTACCAAAAAAAAAAAAAAAAAAAAAGTGCTGCTGGGTCTTTCTCTGAGAGCATGGTGTTACCAGCCACTAGGAAGCAAGCAAGAACAGGGTGGTGTGGGCCTCCATGGCGGTGTACACCTATAATCCTAGCACTGGGGAGGCTGAGGCAGGGGGATCACTGTGAATTCAAGGCCAATCTAGTCTACACAAAGGAGTTCAAGGCCAACCTGAACTATATAGTGAGAACCTGTCTCAAAAGAAAGAAAGAAAGAAAAAAGAAAGAAAAAGAAAGAAAGAAAGAAAGAAAGAAAGAAAAAAGAAAGAAAAAGAAAGAAAGAAAGAAAGAAAGAAAGAAAGAAAGAAAGAAAGAAAGAAAGAAAGAAAAAAGAAAGAAAAAGAAAGAAAGAAAGAGGGCAGTTCAGGGAGAGGAAGTCTAGGGACTGTACCGGACAAAGAAGAAGAGGTGGAGGGGGAAGGGGGAGGGAGGAGGGAGAAGAGGGAAGAAGGAGGGGGAGGGAGGAGGGGAAGGGCAGTACAGGCAGAGCCTTATGTGTAGGGGAGGTTGAAATAGTCTTGCTGCTGCAGCCCGGGCTTCATGTACACTTATAACTCCCAGCCTGTCCCTGGGTGGGGTCTGCTCCCAACAGACCACCTGCCATATCCCTCTTCTGTGCTTGGTTCTTGGCAACCTGACCCAAGGCGATGCTAAACAGTGTCCTGAATCTCCCCCATCCTGGCTAGGACAAC